TTCTACGTAGGAGTTGAACGGCCTCTACGCTCTTCTGCAGTTTTATGACCCGCAGCTCAGATGCTTCGTTTTATCAGACTATGTCCTAGCTCCGACCTTAGAAGAGTATTCTGACCTGCTGGGGGTACCTTTGTTGAATCAGATGCCTTATTACCGTATTGATGTTGAACCTGACTTGGGTAAGTTGGCTGCTGCCCTTCATTTAGATGACTCAAAGCTAAAAGGGAAGTTGTTCAGAAAGATTGGAGTTTATGGTTTCTCTTTTCCTTTCCTGATGGAGAAGGCCCAAGGGTTTGCCAAGAAGGGTTGTTGGGTTGTGTTCAATTCCATATTAGCCATTTGCATATATGGTATCGTGTTGTTCCCTAGTCACTCGGATTTTATAGGTATGGATGCCTGCCACATATTTGCTTCCGAGAATCTAGTGCCCACTCTTCTCGGAGACGTTTATCATTCAGTTCACAGCAAGAATGAAAACAGAAAGGGGAAGAATGTGGCGTGTTGTGCTCCTTTGCTGTACAAATGGCTTGGCAGCCATCTCCCTAAAACAGGTCCGTTTATTGATTCTGCTAAGACTTCACCCTGGTCTGCTCGATTGATGGGTTTGTCTACTGACAATATCACTTGGTTTGATAAAGATCTACTGGGAAAGGAAACTGTGCATAGTTGTGGTGGCTTTCCTAACGCCCCCCTGGTCGGAAGGAACGGGTGTATCAACTACAATCCCTCTTTGCTGGTGAGACAACTTGGATATGCACTAATAGGCCCTCTTGAAGAAGAAGAGATACAGGAATCTCTGTATCTCACAGGGTCTCTTGAAGGTGACATTTTGGTTAAGATAGAGAAAGCTTGGAGCAAAATTCATAGAAAGGGAAAAGTTTTGCTAGGAAAGAGCAACAACAAAGTCTTTGATCCATATGTAGCCAGGATCCGAGAAAGAGCCGCCAAGATTCCTATGCCATTCCCTGCAGTGGAGACATTATATCCCCCCGTGGTCAAAGAACCAACCACAGTTGATATTCAGAAATTCAACCAGGTGCTCCAAGAGAAGGAAGAGCTACGGAAAGCCAACGAAGAACTGGAGAAAGAAATTTCCAACTCCGGAGCGAGAAGAGCGAAGCCGTATACTCCTGCAAGAAGCAGATGAAGTTGATAAACCACTTGGGCACCAATTTGACCAAGGAGACTGATTCTAGAGAGCGTCTTGGATTAGACCTGAAGGTTGTGCATAGTGTGTTGGCCACTAAGAAGCAAGACTTGGATAGGGCGTATCTGAAGATATCCAAATTCGAGACATGGTGAAACAACGCTCTGACCAACCACAAAGAGCGAGAGGAGAAGCTGAAGCAGCAGATAGCCGAGTTGAAGATTCAGCTTGAGACCAAGGACAAGAAGATAGAGGCTGAAGCATCACTCCGACGAGATGTTCAGTACAAATTGGTTGAAACCAAGGCAAACCTGCTGTCGCACCTCGAAAAATCACTGAGACATTTCGGAGAACGCGACCCCCGCGCGAAAGGCGCGGAAAATGCGGTTCGACAGAGTCGCCACCGAACTTTATTTTTCCTGAATGAACGGGAGAGGAAAATATCGAGAAAACCTCTTGAAACGAAAAGGATAGGAACAGGGCTGTTGCAACCATGTTCCGGGTTCGGGAGTCGGTTACATGAGGGGAAGGTATTAGCAGCCCTCACGTCCGTCGTACTCGACGGGAACCTCTTAAGGTAAATGTGGGGAGTGTTGTTTAGGTTTACTTGTTTTCTTCTCGTTTGTTAAAGGCGAATTGGTAGGGTAAAAGGTTAAAGACTCTTAAGGAGAGATGGGTGGTTAGAGGATAGGGTGCTCACCAAGGATTGGGGCCCTTGTGCCTACGTATGCTCATTCGGACGAGAATGAGAAATCAGAGCGTCGTAGTTCGACTACGGGAAAGGATGGGGGAAACGGAAGATGGATGGAAGGTAGATCGCCAAGATCATCGCAATCTTGTGCCTACGTATCTTACATTCGGACGAGAATGAAGAATCAGAGCAGTCGTAGTTCGTGGTAACGACCACGAAAAGGATGAGGTTGAATAGATTGGAAGTTTGAGAAAGAGACGAAAGGGTGACTGACAAGCAACCCAAGAGCGCGCCTCAAGAGCTTGTCACTCAAGAATTCAAGGAATGCGAGATTCCAAGAACTCAGTTCTTTCGGGAATTGACTGAGTAAGTTGAAGATAAAGAGTTGGATGTTTTGAAATCGAAAGAATAAATTAATAACAACTCGAGGGCGCGCCTCGAGAGTTACTCATTCGAATATCCAAAGAATGCTAGATTCTGAGAATATCCCTCTTTCGTAAGTTTTAAGAAAACGTATGTGAAAAGATCGAATCGAAAGATGGCATGCGAGGCCAAAAGGAAGTTGTTTTGAAGTAGCTCTACGACGTATCGAGGATTTGTTTGAAAATGAAACCGACTTGACGACGTGTCAAGGGTTAGGATTGTGAGAAACAATATTAGTCCCTGAGGGTGCCCCTAATATCGAAACCATGAGGAATTGTGAAGTGTGTGCGAAATGTCGATGGTTGCGAATACGTATGAACACTCGACTTAAGATACGTTTGAAAATGTTTGAGTTTGAAAAAGTCGAAAGGTTGAGTGAATAACAACTCAAGAGCGTGCCTCGAGAGCTATTCATTCGAAAATTCAAGGAATGCTAGATTCCAAGAACCTTCTTCTTTCGGTCGAGAAAGATATTTTGAAAAATTGAATCGAGGGTATGAAAAAGGATTGTGGTACGAGGGGTGAGAATACGATATTGGATTTTTAAAATAAGAGAAATCACAATTATTTGATAAATGAGACGTAGGCCTCACAACCAATTAATTGGGGTATTATCGAAATACTAGATCTCGACGATGCCTTTTTCATTTGAAAAATGTTTGGATGAACAACGAAAATATCACACGGAATGCTAGATTCTTATGATATTTCTTTATCCAAAAAAGAATGCTAAATCGAAACATAAAAAAAAAACACATTATTTAAGGTTTACACCTCAATAGTGATTGTCCAAAAATCCAAGTGCTAGACTTCAAGGATTTAGTTTTTCGTAGTTTTGATTTAAGAAAATATTTTGGTTAAAGAACATAAGTTGAATAAAGTTAGAAAAACATTAATTTTGAAAATGATTCAACAACTCAAATTTGAAAGAAAGAAAAATAATAAAAATAACTCTAGACTTTTGTTTATAAAATTGATTTGAAAATGGACTATTAAAATATTTTAAATAAAAAGAATTTTGATATTAGAAATGGATTCCATCAAGATTTGAAAAAAATATCTACTTAAATTTTAGAAATAATCTTTGAAAATATTCTAAAGTTTTATTTTAAAAAAAAAGTATTTTGAAATTGTCTTATAAAATAAACTACTTAATAAACGGAGGAATGGTTTTGATTTAATTCAAGAAATATTGTTTGAATAAACAATGAAAATATCACACGGAGTGCTGACTCCTATGATATATTTTTGTTCAAATAATTAAGAGCATACTTTAAAACGAAAAATGAACAATATTATCCAAGGCGTACGCCCCAATAATAATTACTCAAAAACCCAAGAGGTGCTAGACCTTGAGAGTTTAATTTTCGTGATTGATTATAAAATAAAAGGCTTGATTAAGTATATAAATCATCAATTATTTAAGTGAAAATAATTTTTGAATCTATTAAGCTTAATCAAAACCAATGAAGCTTTATACATAATTTTGATACTCGGGAGTCACGGCACAAAGAAACCATCATTTGGTAACAATCTTCAACCTGCAATGACCAACCAATAAGCTCAAAAGTAGTTGTTGTGTTCGAATCCAGTACATGTCTGCCGAGATGATGCTGTGTTGCATGTTGAAACATTGCTGGCGGTGGTGAAAATTATGGATCTTGGACCAACTGAACCGAATCCAAAATATTACTTGGTGTGGGCTGCTTGTGAGTCATCATTGCCGTAAGACCGATGCTACAAACTGAGTCGCTTTTGTAGAAAAGACAAGCTGATTTAGCGAAATCGTGACAACTCACTCGAGCTGTAAACAGTCACAGACAATAATACAAACTCTTTGTGAACTTGAAATGGAATTGAGCCAGTCATCATAAATTTTTGTTGATGTAGTATCATTGTCGAGTCATCGCCGTGAGCTGAAAAGCTGTTGAGCTGAATGTGTCGATGTTGATGTCGGTGGCTGCGGTTCTCAATGAGTCACCCTTGTACACCTTATGATCAAATTCAAACCGCTACTTCTCAACTTTTCAGGACGTGCTAATGAGTTCAAGCTGCTCTATACACTTTGACTTCATATTTCTGCTGTCGAAATTCGACTAAGTCGCAACGTAGAACTTATCAACACCAGTCCCATAAGGAAGCTTTTCAATCCAAATTTTATTTTGAATGCATAACCTGTACAAAACAGAACCACCCAAACAAGATAACAAGCAATTATAGAATTCATGAAAATAGAGTTGAATTGAAGATGCGAGTGAGATACTACTGATTACAACTGTGGTGCGGCCTTGTCATTGGAAGTGGTGTTGGAAACTGAGAAATAACAGAATTTGTCGGCAATGCCGGAATTGGCCCAGTTCAGACCTGAAATTTGCCGCTACTAACTGGGGATGTCGCATCCTAGCTAGGAACAGATTGGTGAAATTGAGTTCAGTTGTAACTCGAAAACTAAGACAGTGTCGAAGTCACCACACTTCATTTGAGCCGCAAAACGTTGTAGCTTCCGTTGTTATCATCTCGCTGTAGTTATGGCAATGTTGTTGTAGTGACTGCTAAGGTGTTCTCGCTTGCGAAACATTACTCTGAGTTGTTACCGCGTAATCAAACATTTGTCGATGTTGTAATCGAGTTGTATCAGCAAAGTATTCTTCGAAGCACAGGTACCGCGACTTCATTTTATTATCATCTGCTCCGGTAGCAAGGAGTTGAGAGTCCGACGAATATGCGACACAATTGACATCAAAGTAATCCCTGCTGCTTCAAAATATAACTCTCAGACCGCCACTCCCACACAAGAAGCTGACCCAGTTTGGCACAACCAAAGGACAACCAATTTCCAAGGTCATTAAACAAAGCAGTGGTGATATTCTTTTTTGATACGGACATCATATGAATGCACACAAAATCCGGCATCTGATACAACCCAAACACATCGTTTGAAAATCCAACAACCACCATGTCTAACCCTCTATGATAATGGCAAGCCGAAACCTTCGCTGGTGCCTGATTAAAACAATCCTTCCTCAACAATTCCCATTTACCTCTACATAAGTGCCCACCCCCATCCTCAGTTTCACGTTCCTTCCTCTTCTGCACAACATCATCATCTCCAACTTTCAATTCCCCATCTGGTGTCCCTGGCGATGGAGGCGCTGAGGATTCTTCATCCTGGTCGCCAGTAAAACTCCAGCTTAACAAATAGCAATCTCTAGCAACTGTATAAACCTTAGAAACCTTATTGGTTTTAGTATCAATACCGAAAAAGGAACCTACAACTGAATCCCTATGACCTAAAAACAAAAAAGGTTTATACTTATCACCACCACTAAGCTTCTTCAAACACAAGATTCTCGCAGTGAGGTCCTTTGACGCTACAAGCAAGTATTTGGAATCAGGACTCCAATCAAAAGCAGTGATTTTAGCATGGAAATCAGCAAAAGTCTTAACCAACTCAAAAGGAAAATACTCCTTGCGAAAAGCAGGGGATCTCCAGATCTGAACAAGTTTCCCAGCAACAACAACAATGAGTCCTCCGTCAGGGGAAAATTTAACAGCACCAACACGGTGTTTGAAGGTGATACGGTGGAGTAAGGCGCGGTGGCGGAGATTGATAAATAAGCAACGGTTGTTATCGTCAATAGCGAGGAGGAAGGTGCCGTCAGGGGAGACAACTATGCGGGAGATATTGGAAGAGGCTTGAATGGGGAGCGTTGTTGTTTCGGATTTACGGAGGTCGGTGACGGAGATTCTGTTACCGACAGGTGATAGTAGAAGGGTGTTGTTGGAGATGACGGCGTTGCCTCCTCTGTAAGGAGCTCCGAGAAGGTTCTGGAATCTGAAGTTCATTGTTAGATGTTGTTGAAGGTTAGGGATGGAGGGGAGTTTGTGACGGCGCTGTCAGTTGTGGATGGAGGAGGAATTTGTAATAGCACCGTCAGGTGTGGTGGTTAGGTTTAGTCTGCAAGAAGAGAGTTCCCTGGTGTGTGTGGCGGGAATGGAGGTTTATGGTGGTATGTTGAGTTGTCAATTTGGGGCATCATGAACAGTGATTAGGGTTCCCTGGGGGCGGCCGTTTTTTTTGGGTTTTTTATGAACAGTAACTTTCCCCCAATTCTTAGGGTTTCCGTGAACAGTGTTTTTTTTTCTTCCTACTCTGAAATTCTCTTTCTCTTTAAATGCATCCAAACTCAACCCTAACGGGCCATTGGTTAATGGGCCTCCCATTATCTCCAAAAATTTGGCCTTCTTTTTCTTAAATTCCTTTACATTTACCTTATTAACAATAAAACTAATACTTATAATAAAAATTAACATAATTCTAATAAAAAATATTAACAAATATAATTAAACATAAACAAATATAAAGAGAACAAGTTAAAAACAAAAACAAATATTAAGTACTTAAAAATATTATTAGTAACATTTTTTTTTAAAAAAAAGAAAGAGTTTAAGGAACTAAGGAAAATTAATATTCACAAAAATTGTATTAAGCCACGTGTCACGCTTTAGTTGGTCAAGAAAATAGGATTTGGAAAATGCCCAATTTCAAGTGGACACACGTCAAAACGGCATGAAATGATAGTGCGAAAAATATTTACAAAAAGGGTAGGACAAATTTAGGGTATGACAGATGCCCCTATCTAATGGGCTTAAACCTAGGAAAATGAACTGCATTGGCGTTCACATTCCTGAGGTAGAAGTCTATTAGATATTAAAAGACCCTGAATTTGTCCGAAAGAAAGAGAGATGCTTGAGAGTTGAAAATGCCGGACGAGGTAAACCTCTGAGCAAACTGTACATAATAGGCAAAAGGTCGTCATCACCAAAAGGATGATGGAATAAAACACACACGGCCACTACCACCAAAAGGATGATAGGGCACACACCAACCACTACCATCAAAAGGATGAAAGGGTAAACACAATCGCACAATCCGACATCGACGAAATGTCAGACCCAACACCAAAAGGATGACGGAGCGAAACTCACACCAGTCATTACCACCAAAAGGATGATAGGACAAACACAAACAAAATATCGCACAATTTGACATCGACGAAATGCCAAACCCACCACCAAAAGGATGACGGAGCGAAACACAAATAAAAATATCGCGCAATCTGACATCGACGAAATGCCAGACCCACCACTAAAAGGATGACGGAGCGAAACACAAACAAAAATATCGCGCAATCTGACATCGACGAAATGCCAGACCCACCACCAAAAGGATGATGGAGCGAAAACACAAACAAAACATCACGCAATCTGACATCGACGAAATGTCAGACCCACCACCAAAAGGATGATGGAGCGAAACACAAACAAAAATATTGCGCAATCTGACATCAACGAAATGCTAGACCCACCACCAAAAGGATGATGGAGCGAAACACAAACAAAATATCGCACAATCTGACATCGACGAAATGCCAGACCCACCATCAAAAGGACGATAGAGCGAAACACAAACAAAAATATCGCGCAATCTGACATCAACGAAATGCCAGACCCACCACCAAAAGGACGATGGAGCGAAAACACAAACAAAACATCGCGCAATCTGACATCGACGAAATGCCAGACCCACCACCAAAAGGATGATGGAGCGAAAACACAAACAAAACATCGCGCAATCTAACATCGACGAAATGCCAGACCCACCACCAAAAGGATGATGGAGCGAAACACAAACAAAAAAAATCGCGCAATCTGACATCGACGAAATGCCAGACCCACCACCAAAAAGATGATGGAGTGAAAACACAAACAAAACATCGCGCAATCTGACATCGACGAAATGCCAGACCCACCACCAAAAGGATGATGGAGCGAAAACACAAACAAAACATCGCGCAATCTGACATCGACGAAATGCCAGACCCACCACCAAAAGGATGATGGAGCGAAACACAAACAAAATATCGCACAATCTGACATCGACGAAATGCCAGACCCACCACCAAAAGGACGATGGAGCGAAACACAAACAAAAATATCGCGCAATCTGACATCGACGAAATGCCAGACCCACCACCAAAAGGATGATGGAGCGAAAACACAAACAAAACATCGCGCAATCTGACATCGACGAAATGCCAAACCCACCACCGAAAAGATGATGGAGCGAAAACACAAACAAAACATCGCGCAATCTGACATCGACGAAATGCCAGACCCACCACCAAAAGGATGATGGAGCGAAAACACAAACAAAACATCGTGCAATCTGACATCGACGAAATGCCAGACCCACCACCAAAAGGATGATGGAGCGAAACACAAACAAAAATATCGCGCAATCTGACATCGACGAAATGCCAGACCCACCACCAAAACGATGATGGAGCAAAAACACAAACAAAACATCGCGCAATCTGACATCGACGAAATGCCAAACCCACCACCAAAAGGATGATGGAGCGAAAACACAAACAAAACATCGCACAATCTGACATCGACGAAATGCCAGACCCACCACCAAAAGGATGATGGAGAGAAAACACAAACAAAACATCGCGCAATCTGACATCGACGAAATGCCAGACCCACCACCAAAAGGATGATGGAGCGAAACACAAACAAAAATATCTCACAATATGACATCGACGAAATGCCAGACCCACCACCAAAAGGATGACGGAGCGAAACTCACACGCGCAGGTTGCTATCACCAAAAGGATGATAGGACAACACAGATTTGAAGTTTACCAACACCAAAAGGATGCAGGCTAGGTTGAACTGACGAAGTTCGACTATCACCAAAAGGATGATAGTAAGGCAATTGACAACGGTCACGCTTGCTGGGTACAACTCACCGGGGGAACCCCCAAGAGGAAAATTGAATTGAAATGAGTCAACGGGGTACGCCCACCGTCTTGTTTGGAGATCATGATTTCATGGTTACGCCCATGAATTCTGAAGAGGATGCCCCTGACTGGGCTGAGTTTATCTTGATGTCTTGGCTTGCTCAACAAAAAGGTTGAACAACTTCATGAGGAACGCTCACGGTTTTGCTGAAGATGCCCCTGCTCGGGTTGGATCTTGCACTGAACTTCTTGGATTTGCCCAACAAAAGGTTGAACAACTTCGTGGGGAACGCCCACGGTCTTGAATGGTATGCCCCTGACTGGACTGAATGCTGATTTGCATATTTGATTAACCACGAGGTTGAAATTTGTCACGGGAGACGCCCATGGTCTTGAAAAAGATGCCCCTGACTGGGCTGATTCTTGCTTTGAATAACTTCAAATTTTGTGGGAGAAACCCACAATTGCAGAAGATTGCCCCTGACTAGGCTGATGACTGCTTTGAAGCTCTTGAAAACCGTGGGACAAACCCACAATCTTGCAAAAATGCCCCTGATTGGGCTGACGATTGTCTTGAAGTTTCGTCGAGGTTGATCCTGGACCTTGACTTGCACATGTGAATGCTTGATGATATGATGTTCCATATGAGTGGATGTGCAAATGCAAATGCTGACGCGCGGAGATGCAAGAATTGGGGAAGTATGATATGATTGGAGTATGCATATGATGCAAGATGCGTATGAAGTCGAATGCGATACGTATGCTGTATATGATTGCAGACAGGTATTTGGAAATGCAAGGTGGAGATGCCAGCATGGTGGACTTTTGGTAGTTGCCAATACGGATTTGGACTTCAGGTGGTGGGAGGGATTGACTTCCTCGACACGTAGTTTGTTGAAGACGCCATGATTGAAGCAGAAGATGATGCTCTGGATGCCCCAAGTCTGGGTACTTGGTGACTTGTGAATTTTCTTCAGAGAAGGTTGCAACTCTGCTTGATGGTCAAGATGATCTGGTCTTGCCCCCAGTCGGAACTGGTTAATGGCTTGCCCCTGCTCGAGCTTTTGAATGATTTGCCCCAGTCTGTGGGTTTTGAGGTAGTCTTGCTTTGTGCCAACCACTGGAAGTCAAGTTCCTCTTTGATTGCCCTTTGCTGAGATATCTTTGGATACCTAGCACTGTTTTGCAGTTAAAATTGTACATTCACAAATGGTAATAATTAATGCAAAGTTCGATGCAAGTTTGAAAAGTATCGTTTATTGAAGTGTTGTGGTAGTGAGACGAATGGGCATTTAGCTCAAGCGTTGTGCTGATTTTGATTGATGCAGAAGATATAGCAAGAATAAAGACACCAATGCTGATGATTAGCAATCATGTGAGGAGTCAGGTTACGCAACCTTGCGATAGTATGCTTTCAGAATAAACCTCGCCTCAATTAGGTCTTTCGAGGGCTATAACGTGGTCTGGTTCACGTTTATGAAACAAAGGATATTAGGCTCAAAGTATGATTTGTACCCACCCCTCTTCTTAATTGTCTCCAGTCCTATGTTCAGTTAATTATGCACTTATCTTGACGATGTAAACTTTATGATTCAAGGTTTGCTCGATGTGGCAGTCACCTTATTTTGATGGATGCCAGTGCCCCTTTGATCTGGGTGGCCACTGAATCCTTTTTGTTTTTTTTGTTGAGGGTTTCGGGGCCCTCTTTTGCTTTTGTTTTGATCCCTAATTTTTGCATGGATTGACTTTGTTTGTCAAATCCATCGGGGTTGCCTTGATTTTTCCTAAGTCCCCTCTAAGGTGTTTGACTTAGCAGGCTTTTGATTTTTTTGAATTTTGGGAAGGTTGTGACTGCCATGTTGTGAGTCCTTAAAGAACAACCATCTTTTGGATTTTACTTTATTGATTCGAGTGCGGGGTTGGATTAACTGAACACTACCCTGCCCCAGGTTGAGTGTAAAAGGTTTGAATATCCGAAGGAAACTGCTACTTCTAGGCTCGAAGTGGTTTACTAGGGATTAACTCCTTATATCTCCG